TCCTATGTATTCCATCTTGTGAGGTCCACATGTTTAGCCATTGTTCATGCTGTTGAAAAAAGATATTTGCCATGAATAAGTCATTGGTCTTGCAAAATTCTGTCATGTGGTCTCCCATGTCATTTATATCACAGAGGCCATATTTTCCAACTACTGGTAATTCTTCTTTGTTTCCAATTTTTACATTCCAATCACCAGTAATAATTAATACATCTCAATTGTATGTTTGGTCAATTTCAGATTGCAGAAGTTGGTAAAAATCTTTAGTTTCCTTGTCTTTGGCTTTGGTGCTTGGTACCAAAATTTGAATAATAGTAGGATTAACTGATCTTCCTTGTAGGCATATGGATATTATCAATCTTTATGTGTTACAATTTTCCTAGATTCATACTTTATACATTCCATGTTCCAAGTATTAATGGACGTTTGCAGCTGTTTCTTCCCATTTTGAGTTGTGCCACAGTAAATGGAGGTCTCAAAAGATTTACTCCTTCCAGGTAATCAAGGTTGACTCTACTTTGAGGAGGCAGGTATTCATCTCTCGTATTTTGAGACTTACAACCTGAGGGACTCATCTCCTATAGTTAGCCTCCTTAGGAAAGTGAAGGGTAGAATATATAGTCCTTCTGAATGTCATATGATCACAGAGCCCCTGTTTTGTGAAACATCTTGAAGGACTAGTAGTGCATGGAATCCACTTTGGGAAAACTTTTATAGCTGTCTCAGGCCTGTGAAGATTTTCTTGATGTTTTTTCTGTTACTTCTCTGCAAACCTGTGGTACAATCCTCTGCATATGAGCATCCAGGACAAGAAATTTACCGACTCGAAGGCCTGTTAATTGATGAACAGTTCTAATCATTAGCAGTTTGCCTCATATATTGAACATAAAATTACCCTCTTATAACTACCATTAGGATCCTACTTAGCAGTACAGAATAACACTTTTCTGTTGCATGTAGCAAGCTTTCAATTAATTGAACAACACTGATGATCAAGCAGTGAATAGAATTATCAGCTCTGGGGTCATACTTCCTCAGTCCAAATCCTAGCTATGTCATAGCTTTTTTTGGGCAGTCATCCATGTTTGCCTCGCAGATGAGAATAATAACAGAATTTACAGCATAGGGTCATCAAACAGCATAGGTTAGTGTGTTCATACATGCAAAGTCCTTAAAACAATGCTTGGCATATACATGTACATATTAACTACTTAATAAATGATAGCATTGATTCATGGCCTTTTCTGTATCTTTTATTCTCCTAGTTGCTCTTAGACTCCAGTATAGTTTCCAGGGGTGGATTATCCAGTAAGCAAGGTAAGCACAGGCTTACTTGTGCTTTTTCACTAATCTGTAATGAATAACTTCACATGGGTTTCACCACATCATATGTGGTATAAAACATATGAAACTGTTTACTACAAATTAGTAAGTAAGCACAATTAAGCCAATGCTTACCTTGATTGTATATGTGAAAAGAGACTTTGATTCTGTAGGAAGGTGCTTTGGTGTTAGGAGAGAGACTGATGCCAGCCATACTTAGAAGCAAAATTTTGGGGGGTAAAAAAAAAAAAAAAAATGTGGAATTGTTCACTGCAGATTAGTAAGTAAGCACCATAAGGCTATGCTAACCTTGCTAATTAGATAATCCAACACTGACAGTTTCTCAGGATCAGAGCACAAAATCTATGTATTTCTATGATGAAGTAATCAGACTATTCCCAACAGCCTCAAATTTCTGCCATAATAAGTTTTTTTTTTTCTTTCTTTTTTAATGGAGGTAAAATTCACATTCACAAAAGTAACCATTTTAAAGTCAACAATTTAGTGGTAATTAGTACATTCATAATGTTCTGCAATGACTGTCTCTGTCTAGTTCCAAAATGTTTCATCACCTCAAAAGGAAATTCCATGCCCATTAAGCAGTTGCTGCTCATTGCTTCCTCCCTCTAGCCCCTGGGAACCAACAATCTACATATTAACATGGATGTAATGTATTTCTTTAAGGAGCTCCGGTGGCACATGGTTCAGGCATGTGGTTGCTAACCAAAAGGTCAGCAATTCAAACCCACCAGCCGCTCTCCAGGAGAAAGATGAGGCAGTCTGCTTCTGTAAAGATTTATAGACTTGGAAACTCTATGGCTCTATTCTACTCTGTCCTGTAGTGTCACTATGAGTCAGAATAGACGAAATGTCAGTGGCTTTAGTTTGAGAATGTATTTGTTTGAGTGTAAATTTTCAGTTCTTTTGGTTATAAACCTAGGAGTGGAAGTGCTGGGTCATATGCAATTCTTTTGGATTGTTTGAGGTACTGCCAAACTGTTTCCAACAGTATTTTACATTCAGTCCAGCAATGCATGAGGGTTTCAATTTCTGTCCATCCTTGACAACACTTATTTTCTGTTTTCTTGATAATGGCCATTCTGACTAATGATATTGAAGATCTTGTCCTGTGCTTGTTGGCAATTTATATGTCTTCTTTGGAAAAATGTCTGTTCAAGTTCTTTGCCCATATTTTAACTGTGCTGTTTATCTTTTTCTGGTTGAGCCCTGCAGTGTAGTAAATTACTTAGTGTGGCTTTTCTACCCATAAGTCTTTGTAAACTCCAAGGTGGGATTTTCTATGAGCAACTGAGGAGCTATC